GATCACAGGCTCTCCATCGCATGCCAGCGCGCATTCAGCTCTTCTGATGTTATAGAGATCTGCGGTCAGTTCTGCGCTGCAATTGGTCAGATTACACGTCACTCAGATCGGCCATTACAGACTCTGTGAACTCTGACACCGCCGCGTCAGCACAGTGGGCCAGAGAAAGGGGGGTCGCCATCCGGTCGGTCAGCCAGTGGTCTGTGGAGAATGTAGTTCATGAACGCGAGAATTGGAGGCTGTTCTCCGCATGGAAGAGTTGTAGCGAACGCGACTCAGATCCTTTCAGTCTATGATTATCAAATAACAAGTTATATATGATGAAGAACGGTCAGCAGTGCCTTGGAGAACAGTGGGCGTGCGTCTGGGGAGACTTCAGGAGCGATTCTCTGTGTGTTTGAGAGTGTTTTCCTTTGTTGTGAAACGTGTTAGCTATACTAGCACTCTGATACACTGTTTGCTTACAGAAAAGTAGAGTACATTATGCATTTCAGTAAGTATACAGTAAATATACAGTAAATATACATGGATTATTACAGTGCGGTGTAGATGAGCTAACATATGTTTGTTTGACGCTGTGAATGTAGAATGTAGCTGCATGCTAGCGAATTAGCTCAGCTGGACCACGGAGGCAAGCACAGCTGGATGCAGGATGAGAGAGAGATGCTGTGCTCAACTGATGCTGAGGTGAGAGATGCTGTGATCACTATCCCAATACAGAATGCATATAAATGGAATGATATAAAGCTGGAGGATATGGATTCTATTTTAGGTTGTTATAGACCATATATATATTGTAATGTAGACAGTCTTGAGCATCCTGAAATAATTAAATTGCGTGTAGAAATCACAATATGACAAGTTTGGTCCAATTCGCTTATGCCATTTTGTATATTACTACTTAGAAAAACATGAAAATGAAACATAATTCAATAAATAATCAATTAAAGTGCTTATGGCACAGAGTGCAATAGGATTGTGGGGTTAATGTGTTTTATAAAGTCTGTTTTTGTCAGTCGGGGGGCCAGTTCTCCTCTGACCAGATGAAACCAGCAGTTCGATTCCAGGCTGCATCAATGTCACATTGAGCAGAGGACTCAACTGTGGTCTTGTCCCAGTGGCCATCTGAGACAAGGTCTTTACTGGGGATCTGTATCTGGGG